ATTTAAAAAAACGCAACTTTGATACCTTTAGAGCCTTTGGGACACTCTGTACATTACAAAAATATTTTTAAAATGTGCGCTAGGTAGGCGTCGAACAATTAATAAAATAATACTTTTTAAAAATCAAACGGTTTAGCCGCAAACTTCCGTGCCGTATAGCGTGAATAACCCTGTATACTATTGTTTTATCATGAGTCCAAAGAAAAAAGTCCAAGAGGGTCAAGTCGAGGGACCTGGGCGGCAACTTAATTGCCCCCCTCTTTCCAATCTGGTTTCCTGAATACCCCTGAACTTACCATTGTCGCACTGTTACAGCATGATTAGTTGGTGCACAATTTTGTTGAAAGTGTAAATATTTTTCACTTATGTTTAAATATTAATTCAGCGGGCACACGTCTTTCTATACGGTCATAATATTCGATCGGTTTTGGTAAATTTTGTTTAGACTTGCCAAAAAATGAAAATAGCATACCACTTAAAAACAAATGTAAGACAAAAAGATGAAGTAGGGCATGAGACACAATATTTCCAAGTTATTGGGATTTGCTTGAGCAGTTTTGTGTACTTCCAAGCATTGTCCATCCACGAACATTCATTAAAACTGCCTTTATCTTATTCTGTTTTCGTTTATCTATTATTTACAAATCTTTGTTGGTTTTGCATATATAAATAATCTTTATTTCCTCCAGAAAAAGGCTATCGACCCGATCGGTCTTTCTGCCCTTGGTTTTGCATTACTGAAGCTTTTCATATTTTCCAGACACCGCTGGATCCTCGCAATCGCCATACAATAACTACACGATGTTCTACAGATTTCAAGCTCAACCATCTAGAGGATACATTCCAGTTCCCCCGGGAACCGTTTACATTGGGGAATGGGACTAGTTATGATGATCATGGATCCAAAACTTTGATGTCATTTTAGTAGGCAACATTTTGCACCAACTGAATTATCTGTAAATTTAAATATATTTATGTATGATACTTTTTGTATTTTCTATATATTAATCTTAAAATAGTTTCTTGTATCCATGTTGTAGTATATTATTAGTTACCTTCAAAGATGTTATACTTATAAACAATATTAAAACCTGTGATATCTCTTATACTCATAAATTTATTCAATGTTGTCTTCGCACGCTGTGAATATGTTTTGAATGTTTCACACCCGCTCACATGATCCCCTTCTGCTGGGGGGGGGGTCCAAAATTATTATTTATTTATTTTTTTTAGTTTTCAGTTTATATTAACGATTTCCGAAAAATTGAAGTTTCCGGGGAGTCCCGTATAATTTCTCTCCCGCTTCCCGAAAAAATTGATTTCAATTAAATCAAATAGGCTAATCTTAATTGAACTGCAATATCAGGCAAACTCGCAATAAAGGTGGAGCAAGCCCCCATCAATTTCCTCCGTCAATTTCCAAAAATCAGTTTAATATACTAGTCCCGCATGTATCAGATATTAAGCTGATAAGAACAGTTACTACACTTTGATCTTAGCATAATGTGCCGAGAAGCGACAAAGAAACAGGGTTGCCAGGTTCGAAAATGGAGTTTCGGTAGATAAGCTCGACACTTTTCGGTAGAAAATCGGTAGACTCATTTTTCTTTCATTACCAAAACCTCGCCAAAAAAGAAAAAAACGCGCGATATAATCGCGCGTTTTTCAAAACTTGAATTTATAAACTTACAGGAATACTAAAATAAACATGAGTCAATAGGTATATTTATAATATTTTTCAAACATTACAACACATTGTTAACAAAAATAAAATCTTCATCATAAATATTGCGAATAAAATTATTAATACTAATTTTACGAATTTTACAACACTTCTACTTCTTTTAAATAAAAAAATAAAAATATCGTCTTCCAAATAATCCTTATATAAAATTTTATAGGTAAAACAAGCTTATCTTGAATTTCAAAACTATGGCAATTGTCGCTACCAATATATCTCTTGGTGTGTAAGTAAAGTAAGTAAAGTAAGTAAAGATGAAATTGTACTCGTTTTTAGCTTATTTCTCAACTTAGTTTTCATTAGTTTAACCGGTGAAAATATCCGTTCAACATTGGCTGATGAGTGAGGTAGAATAAGCAGGTTACAAATAAAATTGGTTAAAATTGGAAACATGAACGTATCATCTTCATATTTCAATATTTGTACTTGGCTCCAAAACTCTTCAATATTTGTAGACATTTTTATAATTTTTTCAAAATTTCGCAACAGACGTCATTCTGTGTCCAGACCAGACCACTATCATTTATAAAATTTGGAACTATCATTGCAACATCAGAAATACATTGTAGGGAACCTGATTTCACTATTGCAGGATCCATAAAACACAATTTTATCATATTTATGATCTATATGGCGGGCTTGATTCATTTTATGTTTCAAAACATACTCTAAAATATGAGGTGTGCTAAAATAAAATGTCTGCTTTTACCAACGTGCTTTGATCATGAATGGACATATGTTATATTATTTTAAGTAATCCACGGGATTTTTTTAAACTTTTATTTGTTACCTTTCGGTAGAAATCTGCATGGTATCGGGAGATCTACCGAAAAATCGGTAAAACTGGCATCTCTGCAAAGAAAGGATATTTCGACCTCTCATTTAAAAAATTGAACGGAAATGTAAAGGAAAGTTAAAATCTGTGGCATCATCTAGTCGCGGAGCAAGCGTACAATTTCCTGTGCGTTTCACATTTTTTTTTGAAATTTTAGAATTTTAACTAAATACTTATACGTACTTGCCTATCATTTTGCAACAAAAATTCTTTCTAATTTTCAGTAAATGTATTAAGAGATCCTGGCCAAAATTTGGTTTTGTTTTAGTTTCTGCAGGTCTTTAAATATTTGGATACTCTTTTTAGATCTATCCTGACAACTATACTGTTTCAGGCCTTTTCATTTAACATGCAGTAAATGATTCGGGTCTATTACGAATTGATACACAATATAAACAATACAGTTAAAGTACAAGATACAAAACTTTCAAGTCAAGCTACATGTCATTCGAATGTTAGGATAATACAAAAAACAAAAAATATAATTTTATAGTTTAAAGGGACTTGCAGAATTTAAATGAAAAATAGTTCCATACATAACAGAATAATAATAACCTTCGAAAAGTATAGACAAGCTAATAGCAGAACAAATAATGTGTGATCCGGAATATACTTGCTTTCATTACGAAAACTTTATGAAATAATATAAAGTAATAATCGGAGCGGACTTTGAATTGACTGGCGCCCAGGATCGTGGTGAGAAAAATATTGAAATTTAGATAATTGATCGAATTTTATTTTTGTAAACAATTCAGTTTATTAGCTTACAGTGGATTTAAATAAGTCAAGTTATGCGAAAAATTGTGAATTGTTTTTAAAAACATACCGTTTGGATATTGGGAATAGATAATTACACTAGCCCTAACACATAACAATTATTATTGAAGCAAAATTAAATACTGCCCCCAAACACATTTAGAAAAAAAGCACTTAGCTTGAGCTTCGCATTACCAAAGCAATTTTTTTCCAAAGGCCTATTGATTGGAAAATGGTCTGCTCTCGTCACCAATTATCTTCGGTTACAGCCAGTAGTAACAGGAATTGTTCCAGGCTGATACTCGCTTTTGTTTTGCCTCCCTTTTGTCATATGCACCGATGCTAATGAGCGCAAGATAAGTAAATACTTCTAATCACAAGATGAAAGCACAATTGCAATTAAATACACACATCTGACTTAAAATGGCAATCAATTATTCACCCTGCTGAACAAAATTCCTGTTGCTAAATTAAAATTAAAAAAATATATTTTAAAATCATCACCACGGTCCGATGAAAATAATCAAGACGTAATTAATTAATAAATATTATCATTTATACCCTAACAGTGCCGATATCTTTATCGTTCTCCGGCTATAGTAAATTCACAAGAAAACGGTTTTTACATGGCAGCTGAAATTGTATTTGCCAACAAATATAAATAAGGCATGTCCTGTGTTTTTACAATTTACAATAAAAAATCTTGCATCTTCTGCTAATAAAGTTGCATCGAAGTTTTAGGCTTTCGTAAACAATGCTCTTTATTCTGGGCCAGATCGATGTTACTAGTGGTCATAACGTTAATATTTTCGTTTGCGTCAAAACAGAATATAACGTTAGAATAAGCTTAAATTTGAAAGTTTCGAGCAGCTTTTGTCAGTCTCCATTTACCATCCAGAAATGTGCAAGCCTCAAACGACTGCTTCTTGGGCATTCGTTTTGTGTGTGTTAGGTTGTGTGTCTGTGCACAGCCGAGTAGTTCGAAGAGATGTCGATTCACTGGAATTAGTGCACGTCGTAAGCTGTTTTGAATGCATTAAACACACTTGATTGATTAAATTTTAATTAATTGCGCGTTAATTGTCAAGGATGTTTATCCTTATTTTATTTTTCTGTTAACATAAGTACTACTTTTTCAGTTATTCAGACATGGAGACCGAACACCAGACAAAAGTGCACTTTACAAAAATGATCC